TGTGTGTGTGTGTGTGTGTGTGTGTGTGTGTGTGTGTGTGTGTGTAGGGAGGGGACTGGCCAATATTTGGATATAGTAAATAGATCAGAGGGATCACTGCCTGCTTCCCTAGAGGTTTGGTTCTTGGATACATGATGGGCCCAGTTCCCATCTTTGAGCTCAGAGCTCAGCCCTAGTAGTCTCAAGGGAGGACAATGAATGGATTTGAGGCTGGAGCTATTCTGTAGAGGGGACAGGATGACTTAGGGATCAAAGGTTCATAACTGGGCTTCAGAGGTATACCCTGCAGTAGTGACATCTCTCCTTCCCCCAGGAGAGGCTATGCACCTGGCCCGAGACTTCGGCTATGTCTGCGAGACTGAGTTCCCGGCCAAGGCAGCTGCTGAGTACCTGTGCCGCCAGCATGCTGACCCCGGGGAACTGCACAGCCGCAAGAGCATGCTGCTAGCTGCCAAGTGAGTGAGGACACATGGCAGCAAGGCTCAGACGCTGGCCCTGGGCACCAGGACCCCCGCTCAGAGCATACATGGACACATTGGCAGATGTTGCAGCTCTCTGCTTAGGTTCACACGGCCACCACATTCATCCCATGCAGATCTCCATGAGCATGCCACATGTCAACATATCTGGGTCCCATGTATCACAATGAATAGTGTCACAGGCCTACAGCCCACACTAGACTGCACCTACACTAGCCCATGACGTGGGCAGCCCAGTTCCCATCATGGGCCTGGGCCCCTCCTGACAGTTTCTCAGGTCTATTGGTGCCATTCACATGCTGCCACTTCAACTCAGGTCTCCACATCCCATCCTGGACCTTCATTCAGACCCCCTCTCCATTCCCTCAGCCACCCTGTTTAAGCACCCCAAATCTTAGATGGCTTGCATTGTCACTGCACTCATTTTCAATCTAGTTCTGGTGGGACTGCCTAGGGAAGGTTCAACCAACGAGTATTCCACTAAGAATGTGCTTTGTAAAGAGTCCCTTTCTTAGTCCATTTGAACAAGTACAAGATACCATAAACTGAGCAGCAGTTTAATTATTCCCTGCAGTTCTGGAGACTGGTAAGCCCACTGCCTGGCAAGGGCCCACTTTCTTGAATATAGACAACACTTTGTTGCTCTGTCCTGACATGGTAGAGGAACAAGGAATCTCTCTGGCCTCTTTCATCAGGGAGCTCATCCCATTCATAAGGCTTCTACCTGCCCTACCCCATGGTGAACTTGCCTTCCAAAGACCTCATCTGCATCTCCTCGAGGAGGATTTTAACACATGCACGTTGAGGAACACAAATATTCATTCATGCCACAGTAGTCTCAATGAAGGGGAAGAACAGAGGGAAGGAACAGGAGAGAGGCAAAATTGAAATCTAATCTAAATCTAATCTGTAGGCTAAATGCAAACTTTAAAAAATTATTTTATTGTAAAGATGCTGTACAGAGGGGTTACAGTTACAAGAGTAAGGCAATGAGCACATTACTTGTCAATCACTGTTACCCCTTCCCTTGTAGTTGCCCCACTATCCCTCCCCACCCCCACTTTCCACACTCCTCCCCACTCCTCTGCCCTCCCGCCTGAAGTTGTAAACTTGGTTTCCAATATACTGTTAAATGCAAACTTTTAAGGGCCCCACAGTCAGGCCTGCATAAATTCCACCCAGTCCAGCTGACTGGAATTCATGTCCTTATAAGCCTGTCCAGTCCCCCAGCCTGAGGTAGACCTTCCAACCACAATCCCATTCTTTCTCTTCTTGGAGGCTTTCTTCCAATCCCCAAGGCTGAAGAGGACTCAGACTCATGGGACTACCAAATGGGAGTCTGGTTGCTCATGCTGTGTCTAGAGAAGCCTCATTCATGAATCAGCTCCCACATTGAGCATTTCCAGGTCCCAGTCTTGTCTACCTACAATCCTGGCAGGGTTCCAGGGTGACACAAAAGACGAATGAGGCCTGATCCTTTTGCCTGAGCTACATCCAGGATGCATAAGGGAATAGGTAATGGCCACAGAAAGGGGCTGGATTCAAACCCTAGCTCAATCACTTTGGCAGATAACCCCATCTAAAACCAGTTTCCTTATCCACATGATGGGCATAGCAGCAGAGATTTTGGGGGAGGACTAAGTGAGATGATGTACACGGTGTACTTGGCACAGCAAGTAGGCCTCAGTTAACATTTGCT